GCTCTGCTGGAGGCACTTACTCATCTATGCCAAGTCATTTGGAAGACAGCTATCTGGTCAACTGACTGGAAGAGATAGATATCTGTGTCCATTTCAAAGAAAGGTGATACAACAGAATGTGGAAATTATCTAACAATATCATTAATATCACACACGAGTAAAATCTTGCTGAAGATAATTAAAAAATAGTTGCAGTAGTATATTGATTAGAGGACTTCCAGAAATGCAAGCTGGATTCAGAAGAGGGATATCATTGCTGATGTCAGAAGGATCTTGGCTGAATGCAAAGAATATCAGAAAGATGTTCACTTGTGTTTTATTGACTCTGCAGAAGCATTAGATTGTGCGGATCATAACAAACTCTGGATAACATGGAAAAGAATGGGAATTTCAGAACACTTAATTGTGTTCCTGTACATAGACCAGGAGGTTGTCATCCAAACAGAACAAGGTAATACTGCATGATTTCAAATCAGGAAGGGAGTGTGTCAGGTTTGTATCCTTTCACCATACTTATTCAATCTGTATGCTGAACAAATAATCCAAGAAGCTGGACTACATGAAAAACGTGGCGTCAGAAGTGGAGAAAGAGTCATTAACAACCTGTGATATGCAGATGACACAACTTTGTTTGCTGAAAGTGACAATGATTTGAAGCACTCACTGATGAAGATAAGAGTACAGTTTGCAGTATGGATTACACCTTAAAATAAGCAAAACAGAAATCTTCACAATAGGCCCAATAAGCAGAATTATGATAAATGGAGAAAAGATTGAAGTTATTAAAGATTTCTTATTACTTGGATCCACAGTCAACAGCCATGGAAACAGCAGTCAGGAAATAACATGATGTCTTGTACTGGGAAAATCATCAGCAAAAGCCCTCTTTAAAGTGCTTAAGATGTCACATTAAAGACTAAGGTGCTCCTAACCCAAACCATGGTATTTTCAATTGCCTTATATGCATGTGAAAGCTGAACAATGAATAAGCACGACAGAAGAAGAGTAGATGCTTGTGAGTTGTGGTGTTGGCAAAGAATACTGAAAATACCATGGACTGCCAGAAGAACTAACAAATCTATCCTGGAAGAAGTGCAGCCAGAATGCTCCTTGAGAGCAAGAATGGCCAGACTTTGTCTCATCTGCTTTGTTCGTGCTGTCAGAAGATACCATTCCCTGGAGAGGGGTATCATGCTTGGTACAGTGAAGGATCAGTGAAAAAGGAGAAGGCCCTTGACCAGATGGATTGACACAGTGACTGCAACAATGGACTCAGGTATAGCAAGGATTGTGATGCTGGTACGGGACCAAGCAGTGCTTTATTCTGTTGTACATAGCACTGAGTTGGGGCCAACTCGACGGCACCTAACAACAACAACGTATCACCTTATACAATATCCTATAAAGACAGAAGTTTGCAGCACACCCTCGTTTCTTCCATTTCAAACAGTTATACTCTTGATGGCTGCATGCACTGTCAGTGGAAAAGGAGCTGCCCAATAATCCCCAGAGCAGAAAAACGTAGGCGAGGAGTGTATGTCCTGGGGGTCATGAAAGGGTTAAATCATATTTGACAGTTGAAAACAAAACCTGTAACAACATTTGATGTGATGCTCCATGTTTGTAAAGGAAATTATAACCTAAGACAAATATAGTTATTCACTGGGGAGGTTAAAAGGGACCTAAAAGACAGTACTACAGTAAAATAGCAATACCAATAGACTTTGGTAAGTTAGGAATGTATATTGGGGGGCAGGTGGGAAGGGAGAAGATACACAAGGAGGGAGTAAAAGAAAGGTAAGTGTGGTTATAAGAGGGCAACAAAAGGAATCCTTGTGGTAATGGGTTTGTTCTGTATACTGACTGTAGCAGTGGATACACACCCAGACCCTGAAAAATAAATTCACAGAACTAAATATTCATGCATAAATAAGTGCATGTAAAACTGATGAAATCTGAGTAAGATCAATGGATTATATCAATATTGATTTCCCAGTTGTGATATTATAGCATGGTTATGCAGGATATTATCATTAGGAAAAATTGAATTAAAGGTATATGAAAAACTTTCTATTTTATTGTTTTTTTTTGTAACTGCAGAGACATCTGTAATTTTTATCAAAATAAAAGTTTTAATAAGTAGCTATTCCAGTAGACCTTTTACAGGCCCAATGCCAATATGATTTTCCCTCTCTTGGAAATAAATGGTAATAAAATATGGCTATAATAATCATTTTCCACTAAATCTCACCACGGTCTCTATGCATGATTCCCAAAATGAAAAATTTCATGTTATTACAATAAAAGAAACATAAATGTTTTCAAAGTTCCTATGTAAACTTATTTGTAAACTGTTCCCGGTTACTCTTTAGTGTACTTACTATAATCAGAAGAGAATTTGCTCTTTAGGTTAGGGATAACACTCCTCTTTTAGGAAGATACCAAATTGAAATAAATAATCCTTTTCTCTCCTACTCAAAGAGTAGGCAGCCAGATTGGCTCAATCATGCGTAAAAATCACAAAATGAAACAAAAAAGAAAACACTTATTTTCTCATGAAGAAACCAATATGACTATATACTCACATTGCATATGATTGTTCTGTGTATGCATTAATGGAAAGTAGAAACCAATGGGTTTCTAAAATGTTGGTGTTCAGAAGTGGCTGTTGCAGTGATTATTTTAAAATAGTGAAAAGGGTTTTGTCCTTGGGATTAAAATTTGGAGGTCCTCTATAGAGTGGGAGAAAAACGTAGAACAAAACTCAAAATCATAAAATAGACCAGGCTTACTGGTCTGATAGAGACTGATGAAACCCTCAATACTATTGCCTCAAGTCACCCTTCAGGCCTGGAACTCAATCTCCCATAGCTTGATTCTCAGCTAAATAACAGATAGGCCTAAGAGCTGAACACTTGCACCAGGAAGGTGCACTCCTTAGAACAATCAAGCATGTGAGATCAGAAGGGCAGCATTTGCACATGGAGAAATATAGGGAGGCAAGAAGGACACAGGGAAAGGATAATTACAGGGAAGAAGTGGGAGGTAAGATGTTATACTGTGGCGAATATAACCAGTATCACAAAACAAAATGTATATATGAACTATTGAATATAAAACCAATCTACTTTATAAGATTTCACCCAAATCACAAAAAATTCACAATAAATAAACAAACAAACAAATAAATAAATAAAGCAAGTGAATGGAAGAAATGATAAAGTAAACGAGGAATGGAGGATTCAAAAAAAAAAAAAAGAAGGAAGGTTTTAGTGGGAAAAAAAAGTAGAGACTATCACATAGAGCACATGTTTGATGCAAACCAATGATGGGTCAATTGTTTTCCAGACAAAAATGAAACATGGGTGTTTTTCTCAGTCAATACAATACAATCTATTTGTAAACAATGTCATATAATAAATGACCTTTCAAGTAAGACATCTGGATATTAGATGAAAGAGGCCTTTTGCTCAGAATATAAAATATTCTATATTCAAGTTTAGGATCTAAAACAGACTCTAGAACTATACCCTTAGGCTTAGACGAGGGTGGGAAAACAATTATCTATAAATTATTATATATAAAATATACACATATATGCAAATAGATGACAGAGGCTTAGATTTAATACACTTTATTTCTACATAGTTTCTCATTTATTACATACAAAATCATTGCCATCTAACAAAATACTCATTTATATTAAAAAATATTTTTTAAAATTTATATTTTAAAAACACTTTATTACTAGATATTGCTATGTACTCATATTTAAGTGATTATATAAGAAGAATATATTTCATGCTTACGTTACTTTAATCATTTATTTTAGCCTTACTAGACTTTTAAACAATTATGACACTGAGGAGAAAAATATCAAGAATTTAATATTTGCTTAATCCTCATAGAGTGAAATTGTTCTTCAGTCACATACAAAATCCTTAATCACTGCCAAGAAATAAAAAGTTATGCTGATGATCTTTAAGAAGTCTAAAGAAAAAATGTAGGTGACTTAGAATAAAGCAATCACTGATGTTAGAAAGATATTTCATATCTCAAGCTTTTCTTCCAAAAGAGAGTCCTGTGTCCCTGCCAGACTCAATGTTATTTTTTCTTCTTACATAACTAATATATGCATAAGTAATTTATTATATTGTATTAATGTAGTCTTTGTATTAATGTGGTCCTCAATAAGAAATGTTGTTGTTGTTGTTATTTGCCGTCGAGTCGACCCCGACTCATAGCGACCCCTCCTTGGGTTTCCAAGGCAGTATCACTATGGAGCTCTGGTAGCATAGTGGCTAAAAGCACTTGACTGCTAACCAGAAGGCTGGTGGTTCAAACCCACCAGCCACTCCTCGGAAGGAAGGTTGGGCAATCCTACTTCTGTAGTGATACTGCCTCGGAAACCCAAGGAGGGGTCGCTATGAGTCGGGGCCGACTGGACGGCACATAACAACAACAACAACATCACTATGGAAGTAGGATTGCCCAACCTTCCTTCCGAGGAGTGGCTGGTGGGTTTGAACCGCCAGCCTTCTGGTTAGCAGTCAAGTGCCTTAGGCACTATGCTACCAGAGCTCCTCAATAAGACATAGATAACATTAAAAACATTAAATTTAGAAATTAAAATTCAGCTGTAAATAACTTCAAAATATTAAAAATATAATAAAACTACCATTTATTGATCTATTATTCTACGCCAATCTCTTTCATGCGTTTTTCTTAATTAACCCTCAAGCAACCTGAGAAGCAATCACTATTACTCAACTATACAAAGAAACGAAGAATCAGAGGTTGTACATAGTTTGTCCAAGGGCAACACATGGTAGAGTATGTCAAGTTTGATCACAGCTCTGTTTGACTTCAAAATGCTTGCTCTTTTTTGACTTCTTCATATAGCCCCAAATACAAATTTCTGGAAAAAGTCATGCTAATAAAAAAAAAATATGACTTTAAAAGCACCCATAGCAATATTTTGTTTGGAGGAGATCTTGCTTTTAGACTTTGTTCAATTTTTCAAAAAAGGTTTTACTCAGTTGTTCAAATGCTAAGACCACATTGTCATTCTCCTTTTCACATAGTTCACGCAAGGAAACACTATAAAGGAAAAGAAAGAAAGAAAATTTAAATACACACACACACACATCATGTATTTTGAATTTTATATTTAGACTTTGTCTAAATAGGCAGAAAAAAGTAAATCTCACCAGGTGATGAAATAATGTAGGCATAATACGAGGAATAATGATATTTATTACAAACACACTAGAAAAATAAATTAATGAATAGCCCTCTGCAATTCCTTTCCATTTCTATTGCCCAGAGTTTGAAAGGCCATCAAGTTTCATGTAATTTAATCTCCCTTCACTTCAATAGCAGCAATACAGAATTCCCTTTGTTCTACACATACTGCTTACAGAGCCATCATTTTTGTTTGTTTGTTTGTTTTTTGTTTTCTTCTACTGTGGGTAGGAAATACTGAAGCTATTTCTATTTAAAGAAAAATATTTCTTCCTTTACTTTGATGTGTGAGAACAATAGAATAAAACAGAGATGGCAGACAGAATGATGGTCTCTCTCAATCTATTTCCTAATCCCTAGAATCTGTGAACATGTTAGGGGAATTGCAGTTGCAGATGGAATTAAAGTTGCTAATAAACTGACCTTGAGATGGGGAGATTGTCCTGGATTATCTGGGTTGGCCCAATGTAATCACAATGGCTCTTATAAAAAGAGGGATGAAGAAGAGAGTCAATTTCAGAGTGATGTGATGTGAGAAAGACTTGACTCGCCATTGCTGGCTTTGAAGATGAAAGAGGACCACAAATCAAGGAATGCAGGTGGACTTTAGAAGCTGGAACGGACAGGAAAACAGATTGCCCCCTGAACAGAGCCTCCAGAAGGAATATAACTCTGACACCTTGATTTTAGCACAGAAAGACCCATTTCAGATTTCTGAAATCTAAGACAGTAAGAAAATAAATCTGTGTTATATTAAGCTATTATTTTGTGGTAATTTGTTATGGCATCAATAAGAAACTAATACACGTGTGACAAGAAAAGAGAAGAAATCCAGTACTGCTGGTTAAGCTGAAAACAAGCAGAAATTGACATTTTGTCAGTCTTTCTTTTATTATCTGTAACTTCCTTGTTTCCACTGATGTTGTTGTTGTTGTTTTGTGCTGTCAAGTCAGACACGACTCATAGTGACCCCTCCTTGGGTTTCCAAGGCAGTATTGCTATGGAAGTAGATTGACCCATCTTCCTTCCGAGGAGTGGCTGGTGGGTTTGAACCGCCAGCCTTCTGGTTAGCAGTCAAGTGCCTTAGGCACTACGCTGCCAGAGCTCCCTTGTTTCCACTAGAGATCCTGTATTTTCTCTAGTGTCTTCACTGGCCTACTACAAAGAATGAGCAGCTCTGTAGCCACAACTGAATTTTTTCTTTAGGTACAAACCTGTACATTTCCTTCTGAAGAATACCCCACAAACATCATATGAAAGACTATATAAATTCCAACTTACTATTTTGTGTTCTCAGTTCCAAATCTTACCCTCACCCTATGTTTCCTATGTATCATTAACTAAAATAAAAATTTTGGTCATCGTCACAAACAGCATGAAATTTATTGATTATTTCTGTGAATTATACCTCATAACTATTTCTCTAATCCCTCTTTTCCATCCTTAATTCTGTTTCTTTAATTCAGAATCTCACTCACTCTCACCAGGACTGTTATATATAGCCTTGTTTCTTAGCTCTTCAGTCTTTCTATCCTTTGAATAAACCATAAAGACTTTTGTCACATATCTAAACCGTAGAGCTATGTCACACTCATGCTTACCAAATGTCTAACACACTGTTCAAAATATTATGCCCAAGTTCCATAATGTAACAATTAAGACCCTTCACATATAAATACAAATTCCCTTTACTGCAATTCATCATCTTCCCCTACTCCTTTTACAACATGCATACCGTGCATGTCACCATAGTGAGTTTCAAGCCTATCCTTGACAAATCAGACCCTTTCTCATTTTTGTAAGTTGGAAACACTATTATCTCTGTCTAGAATCTTCTCCCATGTCCTTTTATGATACTTAATAAATTCTCATTCACAATTTAAGGCCTAGTTGAAAACCTACTTTAGTCAAGAACCCTTTTCTGAATCTAGGATAGAGTTATTCACCTCTCATTCATTCTCTCAGAGAACTTACTATATTTGTATTACTACAAGGCAGTTTTAATCAACATACTTTGAAATAGGGATAGATATCATTATTTTATATCTCAAATATCTAGAAGTATGTCTCAAACCAATAATACTCCAATACTTGTTGACTAAGTGAATAAATCAATTAATGACTTTCCCAGGCCTAGTTTTTGAGACCATGCCAATGTTTTTGGAGTTTCTTGGGGTGTCCTGATAACTGTAACAATGAACCACTCAACAAATACTGTAAGTACAGAGGTGGAGCAAAATGACAAAATGAGTGCATGCTCCCATTTACTCCACCAGTAGAACTACTGGAACTGAAGAATAAAGCAACTGAATTAGAAAAAGCAAGACAAATACTCAACAATAGAGCTGAACAGACAAAAGATAGAATAAGTGAAGTGGAAGACAAAATAACTGAAATTATCAAGTCCCTTGTGGTGCAATGGTTAAAGCTCTTGTCTGCTAACTGAAAATCCATCAACTGTTCCATAGGTCAAAGATGTGGTAGTGTGCTTGTATAAATAAATATTATAACATTGGAAACCTTTTTGGGGCAGTTCTACTCTGTCCTATAGCATCTCTATGAGTTAGAATTGACTCAACAGCACCAGGTTTAGTTTTTATGAAGCCTCAAGATAAACAAGAGAAAAGAATAAAGAGAAGTAAACAAATAGAAATGGAAATATGAGATTCAATTAAGAAATCTAATATTAGAATTATTGGAATCCCAGAGAATCATGACAATAATAAAGATACAGAAACAATTTTACAAGAGTTGATCAGAAAGAATTTCTCAGAAATGAACAGAGAACCAAGTATGCAAATACAAGCTACAACAACCCCAATTAGAAAAAACACTAAGAGACCTACTCTGTGCCATATCCTAATACAATTCTTGAAAACCAATGACAAGGAGAGAATTCTGAAAGCAACAAGCAAAAAACACAATATAACATACCAACAGTCTTTCATAAGAATTAATGCAGATTTTTTTGCAGAAACTCAAGAAATCAGAATATAATAGGGAGACTTACAAAATACTGAACAGAAACAATTGCCAATGAAGAATTCATTACCCAGCCAAGTTGTCACTCAAAAACAAGGAAAAAATCAAGACATTCCCAAACAAATGGAAGTTCTGGAAATTTGCCACTACCATACTACCTTTGCAAGTATTTCTCAAGGGAGTACTCCAAATGGAATGGCAAGAGAATTAAATAAATAATCACACGCGCACGTGCGTGCGTGCGTGCACAAACACACACACAGACAAGGAAAGGGGAATATGAATAAATGAAAAAAATAAGAGTGAAAGAGAGAGATCTCCAAAAACTGCAACAACACAGGCAATCATAAGGAACAAGTCCACGGTATTATCAGAGAAGAAACTTAATAATTAAATCCTGTGAACAATAAAATATCAAGTTTGTAAGAGATAGGTATAAAGTAAACTTAACAAATGTAGGTTGCAAATTGATATTAATGGATAAACACCAACAGAAATGGAGGAGGGAAGAGTGTATCAGGAATAGATTTATTATGTTAAGGTGTGTGTTAACTGTAACCCATATGTTAAGTGTTATTGCAGTTGTAAGCTGTGTAATGTAATATACATGGTAACCACTAAGAAATCACTTAGGGAAAAATAGTCACAAGAAAATAAAGAAGAAAGCAGAAAAAGCTCATCACAAGGAAGCAGCCAAATACAAACAAAAACAGAAAATTAGAATAAAAAAAGTAACTAAGAAAGTATGAAACACTCAAAAAACAAACAGCAAAATGAGTGAGGTAGACAGTTTACTTTCAACAGTAAGTATAAATGGTTTAAATACCTCATGCAAAAGTCAGAGAGTGGCAGAATGGATTAAATAATCAAAGTCTATCCTTTTGTTGTGTATAAGAATCACATTTTAGACAAAAGGATATAAGTAGACTGAAAATGAAAGGATGGAGAAAAATATTCCATGCAACCAGTAAACAAAAAAGAACAGGGATGGCCATACTGATACCAGATAAAATAAATTAAAATCTATTATAAGAGATAAAGAAGGACCAAAACAAACAAACAAACAAAAAACAAACAAACCCACACTCACTGCCATTCAGTCAATGCTGACTCATAGTGACCCAAAAGGACAGAGGAGAGCTGCCCTGTAGGGTTTCCAGAGCTGTAACTCTTTACGGAAGCAGACTGCCTTGTCTTGTCCTTTAGAGCAGCTGGAGACTTCAAATCATTTACCTTTTGGTTAGCATCTGAGTGCTTAACCACTGTAGCACCATAGCTCCTGCTTATCCAGGCAAAGAAATCACAAAAAAGAAATTCGCAGACCAATATCTCTTAAGAATATACAAAAAATTTCAAGAACATTTTAGCCAACAGACTTCAGGAACATTTCAAAAATTTGTACACCTTGGAGGCGGGGCAAGATGGCGGACTAGGCAGAAGGATTGCACAGACCCTCTTCAACAAAGAAAAGGGAAACCAATAAATACAGACACAGAAGATAATCTTGGACCCCTGAGCCTTGAAGGAAAGGATGCAGATTTGGACTAAACCCCAACTAGCAG